AAACTTCCCTCCTTAATCGTTATACCATTGTTAATTTCCATCAGCTGATGCCTAAGAGGTCCCATCCTCTGCATTCTCACTAGAATTTGATATTTGCTATCCTGTTGAATTTTGCTGTTGTTATTGTGATAATATTTCTTTGTTTTGATTGGCATCTTTCCAGTAGCTAATGATCTCAAACATTTCTTCATGTGTTTACAGTCCATCCGAATGTCTTCTTTGATGAAGAATCTTTCAGTACCATTTGCCTGTTTTGTAATTGGGTTGTGTATTGTTTTCTTGTTGAGATACTTTATCTCTTTATAAATTCTAGATGTTGTTGTGATATTCTGCTGAATACTCTGTGACTCATAGCAACCCTATGTACAGCATCTCTGAACCCTGTTCTCTTCTGAGCCAGTCTCACTGACCCCAATACACCTATGCTCATTACCCCAGTCACTGTAGCAATCCATCTCATCCAGGGTCTTCCTCTCCTGTACTATTCTTCCATCCTTTCAAGCATGATGTCCTTCTCCAAGGACTGGTTCCTTCTGGCCACAGCTGCCCAAAGTATGTGAGATGGAGCTTCAAAATCTTAGTCTCCAAGGAGAAACTTGGTTTCACCCTCTCCAAGACAGACTTACTTGTTTTCTTGGTGGTTCAAGACTCTTCTCCAGCACCACAACTCAAAAGGCATCAATTCTTCTGTCTTTCTTAGTCATTGTCCCGCTCTCTGATGCAATAGCAAGTAATTGCAAAGACCATGGCCTGGATCAGACACGCCTTAGTCTCTAGACTGACATTATAGATAGGAGTGTGATTGCCAAATATTTTTTCTAAGTCTGAAGACTCTCTTTTTACCCTTTTGGAAAAAATTTTGATGCACATAAGTATTTCATTTTTAGAAGGTCCCATTGACCCATTTTATCCTCTCCTGTTTTTGCATTTTTGGCTGAAATAGAAAGCTTATTTATACCATAGATTAGGGCTCCTAATTTTATTCCCATTTTTTTTCTTTCCAAAGATTTTTATAGTTTTTTATTTTACCCCTAAGTTCTTGATCCACCTTGAGTTTTTGTATATAGTGTAAGATGTTGATCTTGTTTTAGTTTTCTACAGCTAGATATCAAGTTTTCCCAGCACTATTTATTAGACTTTCATTTTCTCATTTAATGGATTTAATTTCCTTATAAAATATGACTTAACCATAGATGGATGGATTGATACTGGGTTCTTGGTTCTATTCCATTGGTCTATGTGTCTATTTCTGTAACAGCACAACACTGTTTTTATTACTACAGCTATGTAGTAAGGGTTTGAGATCAGAAGTGTGATACCTCTTTCATTGCTTTTCTTCTTTAGAAGAGCTTTGCTTATTTGGGATCTTTCCTTTCCAAATGAAGCTGGAAATGGAGTTTTCCAGATCCTTGAAGAATGAGGTTGAAGTCTGAATTGAGTTTCTTAAACCTGTCAATGGTTTTTGATAGGATTGTCATTTTAAAAATATTTAATCTTCCTATTTTTCAAAATAGTATATTCTTCCATTTATCTAGGTCTAGTATATTCTTCCATTTATCGAGGTCTCTTTTTCTTATAGTAGTATTTTATAGTTTTCTTTGTATAGGTCATTTGAATCTATTATTAGATTTGTTCTTATTTCATTTTATGGGTGGCTATTGTAAATTTTATTGGTTTCTCTTCTTTTCCAGTGTTCTTTACCACTGTAATTGTTTGAATACTGATATTGTATCTTGCCACTTGCTGAGTCTTTGGGGATTTCTGTGTATACTATTATCTTTATATGTTGTTATTGTTATGTGCTGTCAAATCACCTCTGACACATAGCAACCCTATGTGCAATAGCTCTAGACCCTGTCCTATCCTGAGTTAATCTTACTGTCTCCAAAACACTGAACTACATTGCCCTAATTACTGTGTCAGTCCATTTCCTCCAGGGTCTTCCTTTCTTCAACTGTTCCTCTACCCTTCCAAGTATGATGTCCTTCTCCAAGAACTGGTCCCTTCTGGCAGCATGCCCAAAGTATGTCAGAGGGAACTTCACAGTCACCAGTTTGAATCTTACTTTTCTGTTTGTTTTGTTGCTTTAGCAAGAGTTTTCAAGAGGGCATCCTTGTCTAATCCCTGTTGGCCAGGGGAAGAACTTTTATCTCTTTCCATTGAGGGTGATATTGACTATTGATTTTGTATATATGTTTTTAGTTATGTAGAGAAAATTCCCCTTTAGTCTATTTTGCTCAGCATCTTAATCAAGAAGCGGTATTGAATTTTGTTGAATGCCTTTTCTGCATCAATTAACATGATCATGTGGTTGCTGTTCTGGTTTTCTTTTTCAGTGACATCTTTCCCTAGTTTTGGTATTGGGGTTATGCTTGCTTTGTAGAATGACTCTGATTCTAAGAGTGTTCTATCTTCTTGTTTGTTCTGAAATAGTTTCACCATAATTGGTGATAATTTTTCTCTGAATGTTTGGTAAGATTTACCACTGATACCACCTGGGGTGGACCTTTTTAGTAGGGAGTTTTTAATGACCTGTTCAAGTTCTTTATTTCTGATGATTTTTACCTTGAAGTCTATTTTACCAGATAATTAATACTGCCACTTATGCTTTGTTTTGTCTTATTGGTTCCCCTTTGCAGATAACACTTTATTTTTCCAAGCTACTTTCGGTATTCTAGCCTTATATTTGGTTTTAGTGAATTTTATTATTATATGTCTTAGTGTTTTTCTTTTGATGTCTGCTCTCTTTGGTGTTCATTTGGCTTCTTTAATGTCTATTTTCTCCTTTTTCGTGATGCCTTGCAGGTTTTCTTTTAGTAAATCTTTTATCATTTTCTTTATGCTTTTTCGCCTCCTTCTTACTATTCTAAATTCTGATCACAAGCAGGTTGTTTTTCTTAATGATATACCACATAATTCTTTTGTTTTCTTCATTTTTATTTCTCTTGTTTCTACTTATCCTTCTAACAGATTAATGCTGATGACTTTGTTGTCTGTTTCACTAATTCTGGGTTCTAGTTCTTTAGTTCTGCTGTTTTGTCTTTCCAATATGTTCATAACTTCTGAAATGTCTGTCTTATTACTCTGGATTTCAATTTACTGTTTTTCTGTGACTGCTAATATTCTGTTGGTTTTTTCTGTTTTGTTTTGTATTGATTTTTAAAGTTCTTGATTTTTGCTTATGAATTCTTTCAGTTCTTCATATTTTTCTTTTATACTGTGAGAACATTTGACCACCATTCTTCTGAATTGCATTTCAGATAATCTCAGCCTTCCTTTCTCTGGAAGATCTCTTTACTCTGTGTTGAAGATCTCTTTCTTGATCACCTTTATTGGTGACATCTTGTTTTGTTGGTGGAGCTTGATGTTGTCTTTTGCTTCTGAGACTTTGTGGTGGAGTCATAATTGTAGTTTTTTTAAACGTTTTCTGTTGTGTGCATGATAGCTAATGGGATTTCCTTATAAGTATCTGTTTGTTGTTTTTACATTGTCATTGTTTGAGGGGTGGGGAGTGGGAGTGGGGGTAGTGGTGGTTACTTAACCTTCCAGTCATTCTCATAGTTTGCTTTTTGGATGATCTGTGGTTACTTTGAGCTCATTTCCCTCCTGAAAGTGGAATGATGATTTTGTGATCTTGTATATGTAGAAAATGAGGAGATTGGATTTCTAAATTCCAGAAACCTTCAAAAATAAAAACTCCACTTGGTATGATTATAGTACAAGTAAGGGCTTCAGAAGGCCATAAAAGGGTAAGTAATAAGCCCCAATAAACAGGTTCCTATAGGAGGTAGAACATAGAACAATCCTTGAGAGTCACTGGCAAAACATCCCAGAAGGTGGGGATAGAGAGAGGAGGTGTCTCTCAGAGTCAGAAAGCTGATATGCACCATTGTGGGGACTTAGCTTGACTTGAGTAGAGAGAGAAAAAATCAGGCTGAGATCATATAGTAGAAGACTTTAAATCTTGCTGAATGTTTTGTTTACCACTGGTATGTTTGAGAAGTGTAACACAATAATAATCATCTTTTAGGAAATCAGTGTGGGTTTGCTTTGCAGAATGTAGCCCTGGGGAGATGGGTGATGTGGAGAAAGAGCACTGCACAGGGCTGAAGAAAGCACGTTGGCTTTTAGATCAGCCTTGATTATGCTATTGATCTCTTTACTCTCCTGTTTCTTCAAATGTCAAAGAAAGATGATCTAATCCCTTCCTCATTAGATGAATCAAGGCTGTAACAAATGTGCAGCCCAAAGCGTGGCCGACATTGGGTTGATGCTGGGGTTTCATTCTGCTTTACATAGCAGCACCCACTGCTTTTGTGATTTAACATCCCAGCAGCTCTAAAAAGGCAGAGAGTAAGTTGCTTTTAAGTTACCTCTGACTCATGAGACCCTCACATGTAGCCCTCTTGAGTGCACTGTGCTTCTTAGAACTTTGAAAGCTATGACCTTATAGATGCTTATCACCTTTCCGAGTGGCACTTCTGTGTGGACATTTGGTTAGCATAGTTGGGCACTTAACCATTTACAGCACTCAGAGACTCCATGTTAGCCATAGACAGCATTTATTTTAAGGTTGCTTAGTTGCCACCGTTGGGCCAGAAAATAAACTTGTAATCAAGAGTTTCAAATATAGATGAAGGAAAGAACTGTTTAAAAATAATATATGTTATGCATTACTTGTATGACAAGAGTCAAGAATAAGAGGTGCCCTGCAAAGTGGACTTGGGGAAGGGTGGCGGGTAGAGAGAGGAAATTGTGCAACAATGAATGAATGAAAATCCAACTTTTCTATACTTTCATTAAAATCACAATAATAAAAAAGCAGTTAACAATGCTGTAAAAAAAAAGAGTTTCAAATAAACCAGTTAAGGAAGGATTGAGAAAAACCAACTGTGTGTGAATGTCTACTTAAGTTCCAGCCTTACAGAGATGCTGTTTTCATTAAATACCTTGCAGAAAAATCTGACATTGATATCTTTTGTCCTTTTGCTTTCTCATAGCGAGCACAGTCTGAGTCCCTGGGCGATCTGACATGTACCCTAGAGGAGGAAGAATATGATGAGAAACCATTGCTCAAAGTCAGCACAGAAGAGAGCTCCAGTGCTGGGCAGCAGGATTTGGGGCTGGACAGGGGCTCTGAACTGAGAGATTCAGTCATCATGCTGCAACCCAGGGGACCCCGTACAAGACGAGCACGTCTTCAGCACTCTCCTGCACTCAGTGCCAGCACAGAAGAGTCAGGCTTACCTGGGGAGGACCCTTCAGGTCACTTGGCTGCCCCAGAGGTCACTGAGCCTGAGGCAGGCCCAACTCTATGCTTGGAATTCCTGTCTCCACCAGAAGAGTCTCCTCAGCCTGCTCCAGACAGTGCAAACCAGAGGGAGGAACTGTCTGTCTCAGATGTGTGCTCCCTGGCTGTAGACAGCAGTGATAAGGTGGTTTGTGCTTCTGGTGACAGTGATAGTGAGTTATTTGTCTCCATCCCGGAGGAAGACACCATACCTCCTGAAAATATCATCACCACTCCTGTGAAGATGTCCTCTAGTCCAAGTGGACCAGAGAACAGTGTCTGGAAGGAAGTGGAACTGGCCTTGGACACTCTCAGTCCTGAGAGAGCAGGAAAAGACTCTGCCATGGCCCCTACCCCAAGTCCACAGACCCGCAAGAGTTGCTTGAAACACAAGGCCCTGTCATTGAACGTGAGCCTGAGCATGTCCCCCATACTTCCGACCTCTGAGTCACTTCCAAGCCAGTCCACTCCTTGTTGCCTAGACAAAGAGGCCATTCCCCCTGAGCTCCCTAAGGCTGACTATTCAGAGTCACTCCCGGAAGCTCAGGTGAGGACAACTCCAGAATGGAAAACAGAGAGAGGAGGCGGTGAGCTGGCAAGTGTGAAGAAGTTCTCTGTGTCCTCATGCAGGGTGAAACCACCCGTAGGCGGCATCCGTTTGCTAGAACAACCCAGTCCCAGGGCCCCCTCAAGTGTCCGGCTACCCCTTCTGAAGAGCAACCTGGTCTGGAGGAGTGAGGCAGCACTAGATGACCTCCAGGTGCTTCCTGAACCACAGACTGTGCAACTAGACGCTCCAAGGCCACCCTCCCTGGTGGAATGTGAATCTCAGGACTCCGGAGACCAAGTGGCCAACCAGGTCTTGCTAGACAGTTGTCCACAGGATGTGGAAGTCACACCATCCCCAAAAGACCCCTGCCCAGACTCTCAGGAGGTAGCTACTTGTGAGGACCGAAACGCCTTTCCAATCAAGCTCCGCTCCACCTCTCTCTCCTTCAAATACAGAGATAGTTCTTCTTCAGAGCTGAAAGGAATCAAAAGATACAGTGCTGAAATCCAGTTAGAAAAAGGAGGACTGACTTTGCTCTCCAAAGATGAAAAATGTCAAACTGGGATGGCTCCTAGTCCTCGAGGAGCCCGGCCACTGCATGACCAAGGGAAAGTAAAGGCTCAGTCATCAGAGCAGCTTAGCTCCAAGCCCCCACTGCCCAGGAAGCCTCTTCTGCATACACTCACCCTCCCACACCCACCCACACTCTCACCTGGAAGTTCAGGAGAACTGGAGAAAATCCTCACGCTGCAGAATTCCAAGAAGGACAGTAGGACTGTGGAGAAAAAGTCACCACACAGAACAGCCGGTAAGACCTCCTTGCCTTGTGCCATGACCAGTTTTCCAGGGGAGTTTGGGATGGGACAACACAATGAGGAAATCAAAGTTAGGTGGAAGATCTTGTTGAAACTCATTGCCACCCAGTCAGTTCTGACTGCTGGCAGCCCTGTGTATTACAGACCTCTACAGCAGAGGTCATCCGGTCTTCTTCTTTGGACCACTGGCTTTTAGATTTGCAATTGAGCACAAATTGAGCCCTGAGAGACTTCTATATAAATACCTTTCAGTAGAAAACATGTTACAAGAGAATTGGAAGGGGGAGAAAAGAAAAATTCCTTCTAGTAGCACTGACTGAGGTACGTGTTCAAGAGACAAGTATTAACGGAGCTCTGGTGAAACATAGTGGGGAGCTCTAGTGGCTAGTCCGTAGGGTGTTGCACTGCTAACCAAAAGGGCTTGTGTCTCTGGCAGTTAGAATCCACTAGCTGCTCTGTGGGAGAAAGATGAACAGTCACCTTCCATTAAGGTTTACAGCCTCAAAGACTTCTGAAGGATGGTGAACTAGTCAGGCTAGCAAACCTGCCTCTCTCCCTTACGGACATAAAAAAATATCACAGAGAAGCCCCATCATGGACAAGTTGAGCACTCTTATATTTGATGGAGCCTCTGAGAGTAACTTTGGGCAGGAAACAGAGGAATGGCACTAGAGACAATCCAGTAATCAACAATGTGAACTGGGCCTATGCAAAGCTCTGGCTCCACAAAGAGAGGAAGAAATGAAATAATCATGTCAGCATTTGGGCGTCTTCCACTGAGACCATAGGACCTCATTTACACACACACACACACACACTGACCCCACCCCTGCACACAGATGACCACCTGGACAAACTTACATGTGAGTGGGAGGAAGCAGGTGGATCTTGCACTGGGAATGACACCCTTCCACTGTCCCCCCACCCCCCACCCATGGAGAGCAGGTCAACACCATCTTGAGCCTAGAGAGGAGATTCCCGAAGCTCAATAAAGGCATCTTGAATTATGTGCTAGAAAGGCCAGTTTAAAAAAAAAAAAAGGAATAAAGGATAGGAACTTGTGTTTGCTAATTCCCATAGAAAGAGCAGCCCCCCTATGCAAAAACTATGCCCATATCTTCCTCATCATGGCACCTCTAGCGCACCACGAGAGCACACACACATTCCATTAAAGCAAAGGTTAGCATGTACATCAACTGAGCAGCGTTAGGCTGCAGCCACCACCTACTAACCAGCACTGCACAGACAGCAGATAGCTACACAGACACACCAGCAGCTGCCATACACATGCCAAGAAGAAAGGATGCAAAAAACCCCTACAACAATCTCACCACAATGTTATGAAAGCAATAGCATCAAACTCTACAGAAAAAAATACCCTAAAACAAGCCATGACCAAAACCAGACCAAGTCACAGAATCAAAGCATACCTCAGAGGCAGGGAGACTGCAGCAATCCTCTAAGGTGGAATTCAGAGAAGTGGTGCTCAAGAGATTGCAAATGACAGGAGAAAGTGTTGAAATCACAAGTAAAAAGATAGAAGTAATTAAAAATCATTACAAGACAAAACCTCTACAACAAATGGGATACTAGAAGCCATAGGAAACATTAAAATAATCCAGAATAGTAAGACCACCATTATAAAAGTTATGAATGCATGAGAGGGACAGAAGAGCAGAATGGAAGACATGGAACACAGACTCAATAAGACAGAAAACAAGACCTTTAATACTAAACTAGAAGATAAAGCAATAAAGGAAGGGAAATGAAAACACCATTAGAACTATGCAGGATACCATCAAGAAAAAGAACATACGTGTGATTGGAATTCCAGAACAGGGAGGGGGAGGACCCCATGAATCACCAAGAAGATCGAGGAAGAAGTATTGGAAGACAGGACAATTAGAAAGAAACTCAAGCTTTTTCGCAACGGGTTTGTCGCCAGAGTACAGGTGTTGGTGAATACCATCGCAAAACCTAAGCCAAAATTGGAAAGGAGAAGACCCATATCAACATCGTCGTCATTGGACATGTAGATTCGGGCAAGTTCACCACGACTGGCCATCTGATGGTGGGATTGACAAGAGAACCATTGAGAAATTCGAGAAGGAAGCTGCGGAGATGGGAAAGGGCTCCTTCAAATACACCTGGGTCTTGGATAAACTGAAAGCTGAACGTGAGCGTGGCATCACCATTGATATCTCCCTGTGGAAATTTGAGACCAGCAAGTACTATGTGACCATCATTGATGCCCCAGGACACAGAGACTTTATCAGAAACATGATTACAGGAACATCACAGGCTGATTGTGCTGTCCTGATTGTTGCTGCTGGTGTTGGTGAATTTGAGGCTGGTATTTCAAAGCATGGGCAGACCCGTGAGCATGCCCTTCTGGCTTACACACTGGGTGTGAAGCAACTGATTGTTGGTGTTAACAAAATGGATTCCATCGAGCCACCCTACAGCCAGAAGAGATATGAGGAAATCGTTAAGGAAGTTAGCACCTACATCAAGAAAATTGGCTACAACCCTGACACAGTAGCCTTTGTGCTAATTTCTGGTTGGAATGGTGACAGCATACTGGAGCCAAGTGCTAATATGCCTTGGTTCAAGGGATGGAAAGTCACCCAGAAAGATGGCAATGCCAGTGGGACTACACTGCTTGAAGCTTTGGATTGCATCCTGCCACCAGCTCGTCCAACTGATAAGCCCCTGCGTCTTCCTCTCCAAGATGTCTACAAGATTGGTGGTATTGGTACTGTCCCTGTGGGAAGAGTGGAGACTGATGTTCTCAAGCCGGCATGGTGGTCACATTTGTCCCAGTCAACGTTACCGCTGAAGTAAAGTCTGTTGAAATGCACCATGAAACTTTGAGTGAGGCTCTTCCTGGTGACAATGTTGGCTTCAATGTTAAGAAAGTCTCTGTGGAAGATGTTCGACGTGACAACGTGGCTGGTGACAGCAAAAATGACCCATCCATGGAAGCACCTGGCTTCACTGCTCAGGTGATTATCTTAAACCATCCTGGCCAAATCAGTGCTGGTTATGCACCTGTGCTGGATTGTCACACAGCTCACATTGCTTGCAAGTTTGCTGAGCTCAAAGAGAAGATTGATCGCCGTTCTGGTAAGAAGCTGAAAGATGGCCCCAAATTCCTGAAGTCTGGTGATGCTGCGATTGTGGATATGGTTCCTGGCAAGCCCATGTGTGTGGAGAGCTTCTCTGACTACCCTCCTCTGGGTTGTTTTGCTGTCCGAGACATGAGGCAGACTATTGCTGTGGGTGTCATCAAAGCAGTGGACAAGAAGGCTGCTGGAGCTGGCAAGGTCACCAAGTCTGCTCAGAAAACTCAGAAGGCTAAATGAATATTACCCATTAACACCTGCCACCCCGGTCATAATCAGTGGTGGAAGAACGGTCTCAGAACAGTTTGTCTCAATTGGCCATTTAAGTTTAATAGTAAAAGACTGGTTAATGATAACAATGCATTGTAAAACCTTCAGAAGGAAAGGAATGTTTTGTGGACCATTCGTTTTCTTTTTCGTGTGGCAGTTTTAAGTTATTAGTTTTTAAAATCAGTACTTTTTAAATGGAAACAACTTCACCAAAAATTTGTCACAGAATTTTGAGACCCATTAAAACAAGTTTAATGAGAAGAAAGAAAGAAAGAAAGAGACTCAACAAAGATGAAGAAGAGCTGACTATACAGTTAACCAACACAGCCTCATAGATATATGCAGAGTGTTCCACCAAACAAGTGCGATTTCCATTCTTCTTCAGCACACATGGAACATTCTCTAGAACTGACCATATATTAGGGCAGAAAGCGAGACCCTGCAAATTCAAAAGAACTGAAATACTAAAAAGCAAATTCTCAGATCATAATGCTATAAAATAAGAAATTAACAAAAGCATTAAAAAAATGTACACGGAAGCTAAATAGCTACTGGCTTATAGAAGAAATAAATGGAAAAACTTTCTTGAAACAAATGGGACTGTATCAAACAAATAAGACAAGAAAAAATGCAGAAGCTCTTTGTTCCTGGGATATATCATCCATTGTTACTTTGAATTTATGTGTTGTTTTATACTGAAGGCAACTGTGGGAAATTATGTAAATGGAAATTTAATTTACAATGGAATAATATTTTTAAACCATGTTAAAAGAAAAAAAAGAAATAAGACAATGTAGCAAAACCTCTGGTATATACCAAAGGCAGTATTCAGGGGTCAGTTCAGAGCAATAAGCAAACACATATTTTTTAAAAAAAAAGAATTAAAACTAACTACTTAATCCAACATCTTCAACAAATAGGAAAAAGTGCAAACAACCTCTAGAAGAAAGGAAATAATAAAAATAAGAGCAGAAATAAATGGAGTAGAAAATGGGGAAAAAAAAGAAATGATTGCAAGACCAATTGGTTCTTTGAAAGGGTTCATAAAATTGATACGGCAATGGCAAATCTAACAAAGAAAAAAGGGGGAAGACACTAATAATGACTAAGAAACTAAATGGACAACATCATAATAGAACAAGCTGAGATAAAAAGGATAAAAATGGGAGATTATGAAAGCTATATTCTGACATCAAGTAAACAAAGATTCTCACCACTGGGCCAACTGGCAGCATCATGCTAGTTGGGGAGGAATTTGAGATTCTTAACAGCTTCAGCTCTTGGTACCAGCAGCCAGGAAATAAAAAGATGAATTGCATTGGGAAAATCTGCTGTCAGGGACCTCTCCAGAGTACTGAAGAGTCTAGAGACTAAGGTGAGTCAAATCATGCCATGATCTTCGCAATTACTTGCTATGCATCAGAGAGCTAGACAATGACTAAGGATGATAGAAGAAAAATTGATGTCTTTGAGTTGTAGTGCTAGAGAAGAGTATTGAAAATATCGTAGACTGCTAGGAGAACAAACAGATTCATGCTGGAGAAGGGAAAATCAGGCTGCTCCTTGGAGGCAAGGATTTTGAAACTTCATCCTGATGT